TTAAGGAAACAAGAGTACATCAGAGAGTGTAGGGAGCTGGGGGGTAGATCCGCAAGAGTCGAGCAGATTTTTCTTGGGATATGGGGATTAGATGACTCCCACCTGGAGGGGCGACTCCCCAYGACCCGGACAAATGWTTYCCCCGCCACACAGAACGACCAAAAGTCACGATGCGGCGATCTTGCGATCGGGGAAGAAGAAAGAGAGGAAATGCAGCGTGCAATCGCTGCCATTGCRGCCTCCATACAGGACCCTCCCCTCACACCCAACAACAACAAAAAAGATGGGGTTGCATCAGAACGCGACCAATACACGGCCTTCGCTCCACTCGCCTCCATGTACTCGGTAGAACGCACATCCTCTCGCTTTCGGCATGCTATTTGGAAGATGGACACATACAATCACCTCGCACCGATCTCCATTAGGGCACTCCAATTTTTGGGAAATGTCACTGACGCACAAGTCAAGGAATGCAGGGCACTGATAGTGAAAGGGAAACTGAAGTACCGCTGTAGGGTTAGCCCACTGGACCCACAGGATCTCAAATTCCCACCCATGCGCGCATTAGACCCGGATAAGTGTGGCCAAACGAGCTCGGGGATGTGGAAGAAGGGCATTAGGCAGCGGGACAAACCCGATCTCAGGAGCTTAAGAAAGGTATGGAACGTGGGCAAACCCTACTTTAAGTGTAAATGCAAGMAAGAGAAGAACAGGGACTGCGGGGATACCCCACTATGGTTCGATCACGTCATATGGTTCTTGTTAGCACACCCAGACTTTCTTTTTCCGGACATGTCCTCGATAAAGGTTAAGACTTCGATGCTTATCCACTACCTTAGGACCACGTGAAGAGATGGGATGCTTGCTGCCATCAACGTTCACTTCCTCAAGGACCTGATGATGGGTTACGTCAAGGAACTCGCGGGCGACGCCAGGCTGAACGCGGAAGGCGTTCTAAAAGAAGATTGCCTTTGGAGCTACTCGATACCCGCAACACTGTGTGGGTGATGTTCCCCACTCGGATCTCCGAGAGACCACCAAGGATCCCACTTAGTTCCCCACGAACTGCGGCATAGAAAAGGGGCAGGGATGTGCAGATACCGGGTCAGACGACTCTTAACTTCCATAGCGTTTCGCCCGCGACCAATGCCCCACCTCCCGCTGCTTCTTCTCCTCCCTCTCCCCCTCCCCCTCCTCCTCCCCCTCCGCCTTATGACCAGTGCCCTGCTTTTGCTGCCTCTGCTTCCTCCTCTTCCCAGTTCTCTCCATCTTCAACCGACTACTGTGGCCAGCGATGCCAGGCGGACGGGAGACATGACTCGCCTCTGCGGGACGCACATCGCCACTTCGTCTCGGACGACGAGATCCTCAACACCCTCCTCCCCCCTTCCCCCCCCTGCGCAACCATTCGTGGTAATTAGGGGTCTCACCCCTCCTCCGGTCATCCTCCTCTCCCCCGAGGCTTCCGCACAATCGACACTGACCCACAACGGAAGAAAAAAGACAATGAACGCGGGTGACAGGGGCGGAAGGGGTGGTGGTACTGTCTCCTACGGGAAACGCCCTGCGCGAGCATAATTAACCCAGTCTGATGAAGATGGGTGACTTTTTTTCTTTTTTCTTTTTTTCTTTTTTTCTTTTTTTCTTTTTCTTTTTCTTTTTCTTCTTCTTGTTCTACGGTCTTTTCTTCCTGCTTTCCTCTCGTTTGTCTTTTCTTCAAAAAAAACTTCTCTTCCGATTCTGTTTTACTGTTTTTGTTTTCCTCCCTTTCGTTACTTCACTCCCCTCCTTCTTCCGGCCTTTTTTTGTCACACCTGACGCACTCCATATCTTGTTCTTGTGACATTCGGGGTGCAGAATCCAGTAGGCTACATCAGCGCCCCAAGGCAGCTGATCACCCTACCAAACAGCAGGAGGTCTTGGAATAGGCAGAGGCCGGAGTGTGAGAACTTCCTGCATGTAAGGTATACCAGCCGGTGATGGAACCACTAACCATCAGGAGAATGATAAATGAAGTCCGGAAGAGGGTACTCGGAGATGAGACGACGACCTGGCTGGAGCGTACTAGGATCGGATGGACCTATAACTGCGCAATTGCTTCTAGGTTATGCAAACCTGCGGAGCTGTTTTGCAGATTTGACGTCACACAATGGATGGAGAGCTATGATCCAGAGCAATGTCCGTAAAGACCACGAAGGTGCCAGGACATGTGCAGCAACACCTCCATCAAGTTGCTCGAGAACGAAGGGTGTACGCACGTCATCACCCTGGATTCGTCGATCACGGACAATCCGCTTCTCCAAGGCATAGTCAATTCCGGTCTCAACCACATCCCCTGCATGGCACTGGACATGGACGAGGCATTGAGCGAATTGGACTCCTTTCTTGGCGCACTCTTTGAATCGATAATGAAGCTGCGCGAGCTCACGGCCTTCACGCAATCGTTTTTACGAAGAATCATCTTGAAGAAGGGGAAGGAGAAGATGACGAAGTACCGTGAAACGCACAGACACGTAGTCGCGGAACCTTTTGAACACCCAGCCGTCAAGCGGGAGATAGAGTTCATAACGGGTCCCTTTCTCATATATCCAACGAACAAGGCTCCAAGCACTCCGGCTTCCGTATGCGAGAATTTCATACGAAAACTGGCCTTTCAGAGATTGTCGGGCCTTGAATTCGCAAGCATCGCCGCTCGCCCTGATGCTGTCATTGCGTGACTACGAGGAGAGCTTTTTGCTATGCCTGCTCTCCCCGCAGCCCCTGCGGCGCTCCCGTATCTCATGACGGTGTTCAAGGTACACAAGGGCTCCTTCCGGTGGATTACGAACATGGCCGACACGATCATCTTCCCTGTTGCGAAACTTTGCGCTTGCCTTCTGCCCTTCCTTCTTCCCTTAGTGCAGGCGTTCTGTCAGGAGAGGAGCCTGGAAGTTTTGGAGCTGCATGAGGTCAAGTCTAACCTATGGTGGGCTATTGCCTCAGTGGGTGAGTGCTGCGCGAATATCCCATCTGAGGTCTACTCTTTCTTCACAGCCGATATCACTAGGTGCTTCAAGACGATCCCCACAGATGATTCGGAGGACAGTCTCGCTGCGGTTGTCATATTCTTCATACAGTGTGCAATGCAGGTTCGGCGAGAGAGGAGTTTGAGTCATGCTCTACGAATCAGGGTAAGGGCAGATGGCATCTTTTGATCTTCGTGGACGGACGCTGGACAGCCGGAGGAATTGGGCTCATTACTATTCAAAGAGGAGGATATCTATTGGCTCACAGAATGGTGCATTGCGAAAAGCGTGCTACGCATGAGAGACCACGTGTGGAGGCAGGTGAGGGGTATCCCTAAGGGATTAGCATGCTCCCCAATTTGGTGTGATATATATTTCTTCAAGTACGAGTAGCATGCCATGATGAGACTGGCGGATACGGGGAACGCTCATCTGACCCCTTACCATCACCTGGAGATACCTGGGCAAAATCTGTGAGGCGGGGTTAGAAGGGTTAGACCCGTCGGATCTCATACGGATAGCTATAGCGTGCCGCCGGAGGAATTTGAGGCATGAGTGAGCCCGACATCGGTGAACTAGTGGGTTTATAAAGGGTTAGGGCAGAGTTATGCTGGATATTGGCCCTTTGATGGGAAGAGGAAAGGAGGGCGAGGCTAGGACCCTTGCGGAGGATCAAGTTGTTAGAGGCTGTCGTGATCAAGGTACTAGATGACTTAAAAGAGGAGCTACTCTTCGGGGGAGGAGAGGCATGAGAGTCACCTATGCCTCGAGCTCGATAGATTGGGAGTTGGAGACAAGGGACGACGGCCCGGCAGTCGAGGTAGTAGGAATAGCGGATCTCGGCCCAGGCCTTGGAGAAGACCAAGAGATTAGGGCCGAGAAGAGCTTCCTCGTCGAGGTCCGGCGACTGACCCTGTGGAGAAGGAGGTCCTGGACTACCTTAGCGAGGTTTTCGATCGCTATTAGGGGGGCGAGAGGAGTATTGTTCTCTAGAACGTGGAGAGAGTCCATGTCAGAGGTCGAAGGAAGGTTTGAAGAGGACTCTAGGTGGCTTGGAAACCCACTCGAGGCCCCGGTGCACCTAGTAGAGGCGCATTTTTGGGATAGGATGGGTGAATATGAACAAGCATTATGTCGAACGATACGGGAGCAGGACGAAGGCTCTCGAGGGAGGTGTGAGAGCTCGCTCATGGAGGCAGCGGAGAGATTGGCTCGGGTAGGGTAAGTTGGCCAATGATTAGGTACGAAAGGGGAGACCCTATAGGAACCTTGCAACGGGCCTGGAAGACGGGATCGAGGTATGAAGTGACCCTCCCTAGAATTGGGGAAGAAGGGGAGGTCCCCACATAATTCTTTGAAATATAGGGGCAAGAAACATTGGTCCGTTTCTCGATAGTCTCGCTGGACGATACCTGCACGTGAAGAGAGGAGATCTATTTGTCTCCCGACGACAGGCAGTTCTTTGTCACGGAATTGGCGAAAGGGAAGGATCCTCTAAGTATAGCGGAGAAAACTCAAAACCGACTTAGAAGGCTGAGAGGGGGAGAGGCAGAAAGACGAGAGAGAGAAAGGATTGAATACCGAGGGCGGTTGGAGGTCCTGCAGGCTGCCCACGGCTGGACCTGGGAGATCCCTGCTTGGGTCTACCGATTGCTCTACCCCGACGTTGCCGCTGTGAGGAAAGTCTAAATTAGAGGGTCAGTAATTGAAAAGGGGATCCCTTAGGGGAAGAAAAGGGGCACGGGCTATTCACCCTGTGTTGGGAGTTCTTAGAGCTCACGGATTTTGAGTGGTGGGCTTTGGTAGGCGATTTTATCAAACCCCTGTTCTCCGGACAAGCCGGCGAAGTGGATAGAGACTTGATTAGGCGATGCGCGCAAGAAGGGATTAGGGGCTTCTCAGACCTGGAGATTGCCAATCTTGCGCTGGCCGCTAGCGAGGAGAAGAAACAGCGGGACTCTTGGTGGACGGTGACTAGCGAGGAGTCCGAAGGGGATAGTGAGACCCAAAGATCGAGTAAAGAAGGAAGAGGCTCGGAGGAGAGTAGTGGAACAACCAGCCAAGGGAGTGACTCTAGTGAGGAGAGCGACTGAGAACTGGTGCATGGAAAGTGTGGTGGAACACGGGGTAGCCCAATCTCCAAAGACCGCCACTATGGGGCGAGCCGAGGAAGACGCCGAATTAGGGGCGAGGTTGAGCAAGACAGCCGAAGGGGCAGAGGCTATGGGCAGGGCCCTAAGAAGCCAGGAAGAACCCATCGGGAAGAAAGTTGCGGAACCACGCACAAGCTCGGATGAGCGTTTGCACCGAAAGGTGGAACCACGTATCCCTATGAGAGAAAGGGTGGTCGAAGCCACAAGGGGCGTCCCTGTCGAAACCAGGCGGACCACGTGGAAGAGAGAATCGGCAAGGGGCAGGAGTGCCCTCATGGCAGGACTGGGTGCTGGGCACCAAGGAGGAGCGAGGAAGGTGGCCCGAGGAGGAGAGAACTTGGGGACGGACGACCAACCGAAATTGGGGGAGGACCGCGAAGATGGGCAAGCAGGGAGGTCGGGCCCCCTTGGGTACGAGAAGAGGCGGCAAGAAGGAATATGGGAGGACCCGGAGATATATGGAGAGGGGGCAGGGCCCCGGAGTCCATGCACTGGGAACGCGAAGAACCAGGTTATGGGGGTCGCAGGGAGGAGGAACCATGGGGACCTCCGAGATATCGACCCTGGATGGAGGATTTGGACCCGTCCTGGTACAAACCTTACGATCCAGCACTAGATGGGCCTGCAGATGGACCTTACTTCCATCGATATGACGATCGAAGAGTCCCTTACTACGATGTAAACCTGGGGCTAGAGTCGCTCTACTTTAACGAAAGGGATGTGACCGGATTCGTGGAGAAATGGGAGAGTTATGCCTATCGTAAGAAGTTTTCGGAGAAAGAATGAATCGACCACTTCATTCAACATTCGGACCCGGAGTTGGACCAGGCTATTAGGGTCGTGTACCCGTCTGATGGAAGGTGGAAGACGTTCAAAAGCAGCCTGCTTAGGATCTTTGCATGCGATGATATGATCCCCACGATAAAGGGGCTGCGTCGGGTGACAAGAGGAGAGCAGGAGAGCCTGGTGGCCTTTACCCGACGGTTCAAACGCTTGTCCCAGGCCTTAGTGGATAGAGGGATGCTTTCGGAGGTCGACAGGTGCGTGATGTTCATGTTGCACCTACCCGAGGAGAAGAGGAGGGAGGTCCTCGAAATGGCCCCTAGGGATTCCGCTAATTTTGAAAGGGTCGCCGAAGTAGTCTTCACCGGAGGAGGTGTGGACGTGAGGGAATATATGAAGAAGAGTCTAGACATGGCGCTCCGGAGTATGCGCTCCCAGAAGGGGGAAGGACCTCGTGTCAACGAAAGGCAGCCTCCGGTGCCTCCCGCCCAACGCTGGGGAGGAGGACCCCCGGGTCGGTGGACCGAATCCGACAACCAAGTGAACTGGAGGGCCGATCGAGAGGCCGGGCGTAATCGGGCCTCGAAATGGGAAATTCCCGGTGGAAGGATGTGAGGGACGGAAGATGGGGAGACCCTCCCCAATCTAGGGCAATGGGTGTTTGACCGGAAGTAAGTCAGGCCAGAGCGTCGCTGCCTCCCGGGCCTCCCGCGGCGACGGGAGCGCCACCTCAGGTCGCTTCCCGCCGTAACAACCCACCGCCTCGAACCGGGTGTGTCTACTGTAATGAGGAGGGTCATATCAAACGAGAGTGCCCTTACCTTACGGAAGCCTTGAGATTAGGGGTGGTGAAATTAAATGAGAATAAGTGGGTAGTTTGGGGGGAAAACGGGGAGGCAGTCTCCTTCTATCCCTCCATGAAGGTGAATGTGGACAAGAGGATAGCCCTCCGGGAGGCAAGTTCGGGGAAGAAGCCTGAGATTGGGGGTACCTCCAACTCATCCCATGTCCAAATAAAGGAATCATCAGGAGACGTGTCCATTAGGGAACCCCAGGTGTCCAGCATCAAGTTCGTTGAAACCCAGCCCGAAGAGGAGGGGCCTTGCCTAAGGGTAAGAACCCAGGTTGGGGCCGAGACGTCTAAAGGCAAAGAGAGCGTGGCGGAAGATGGAGGAAGAAGGAGCGGCGACGATGACCAACCGATGGCCGATGCCAAAGGTGTGGAGGAAAGGAAGGAGAAACCCACTTCACCCAAATCGTCTAGGAAGAGGGGGGCGAAAAAGTTCGAAATGAAATGCACCTTGGATGAGATAGACACGGTAGCTCCCCTACGGAGGAACCTGATGCAGCATATGCAGTGCACGCTTCTGGAATACGTAGCAGCCAGCAAAAGCGCTAGGGAAGAACTCCTAAGCATCACGAAGAAAGTGAGAGTCCCGCTCGCCGGAGGACCCATGGTACCGGGGGATGGTCCAGCCAAGGAAGAAGTGCAGTCCTCCCGAATCACCATGGAGGAGCTGCGGACTAACTTCTTCTCGGGAGAGGAGGCCAAAAAGTTCTATGTATTAGGGAGCGGCCAGCTCCAAGCGGTGGTGAGTGGAAAGAAGATGAGGGCTCTAGTGGACAATGGGTCCGAGTCCACGGTATGTAGAGACTTCAATGCCCGGGAGTTAGGATTGGAAATAGATAGGGGGGTATCGATGTCAATGGTCGTAGCGGATAACAAGCTACAACCGGTAGAGGGGGTGTGTCACAACCCCGTGATCGAGGTCGTGGACGTTGAAGTCTCGGTCCCAATATTTTCGGTAAAAGAGTGTTCCTCCGAGTTGATCCTCGGTAGAACCTGGCTGAGCGAGGTTCACGCTACCATGGTTGACCTACCTGATGGAAGTCAGACCCTCTCCATCCAAAGTTCGGATGGAATCCGGGTGGTCCTAAAGACCGTGGACGCACAAGATGAACGGAACCGGACCAACATTCCTAGACGGAAGGGGGCCCAGTCGAGGGTATGCCAAGTCCGTCTGGAAGAGGCACTCCTTTCGGGTGGGGAACCCCCGGGTGACCGGTTAGAGGTCGAGGATGTCTGGGACAGGGTTGTGATCAACAGGATAGGGTATGGGAAGGAGGACGAGGAGGAGGAGTTCGGTGGATGTGTGAGACTGTCTTTTTTTGAGGAATCCCCCTAGCCGGCGGAATCAAGAAGCATAAAACCGTGGCGGAAAAAGTGAAACCCGCCGCGGTCAGCCGGGATAGAACGGGGGAAACTTCGATATTGGAGGAGGAGATCGCCGATATCATCCGAAAAAGAAAGGAAAATGAGGGACAAAGAATTACGACCGATAGGTTGTCCAAGATGGATATAGGGGATGGAAATCTCACGAAGAAAGAGAAGGAGTTTGTAGCAATGACCCTACGGGGCTGCGATAAGGCCATTGCCTTTGATGACTCGGAAAGAGGGAGGATTGACCCAAGGTACGCTAAGCCTGCCCGGATCCATACGATTCCGCACGTGCCCTGGAAAGATAGACCCCAATGGAAGTACGCTCAAAAGGAAAAGGAGATAGTGGCCTTTATCAAGGAAAAAATCAGAACGTTCGTTGCAGGGCCCTGTGAGAGTGCCTACTCCAATGAATGGTTCTTTCTGAGGAAGGGTGGTAGCAACAAGTTGAGGTGGATTCAGAATCTCCAAAGAACCAACGCAGTCACCATAAGGGATGTAGGTTTCATACCTGAAGCGGATCTACTCGCGGAAGGATCAGTAGGTCGCTCGATCTACTCGATTTGCGATCTCTTCTCGGGGTATGATGAAATCCCTTTGGACTACTGAGATAGGCACATGACCGCCATGCATACGCCTCTAGGGCTGGTCCAGATGATGGTGGTACCAATGGGGTGGACGAACGGCGTGGCAGTGTTCCAGAGGGCCATGATTGCGGTCCTCAAGGAGTTCATACCTGAGAAGGTGGAGGTCTTCCTAGATGACTTCCCGATAAAAGGGTCGGTTGAACGGGACGAGACGGAGGTCTTCCCCCGGGTGAGAAAGTTCGTAGTAGACCACATGAGAGATGTCAGGGACGTCCTTGTAAAATTAGACGACGCCAACCTTACGGTGAGCGAAACTAAGAGTCGCTGGGGCGTGTCGTCAATCAAGATATTAGGTTACATTTGCGACAAGGATGGGCGGAGGCCCGACCCCGAAAAATTAAAAAAATTGATGACCTGGCCGTCGCCGCTAAAGTCAATAACGGAGGTTAGGCAATTCCTAGGGGTAGTGGGCTACTAGAGGATCTTTATAAGAGTGTACAGTGAGAAAGCGGAGCCTCTTAGATGGCTGCTTAGAAAATCGGAGGGATGGATTTGGGGAGACGAGCAGGTCGCGGCCATGGAGGTCCTTAAAGAAGAGTTCCGCGAAGGAGGGCAGATCCTCGGGGTTCCGTTCTTCGAGGATGAGGAAAGTCGACCATTCATAGTTGCTACGGACACTGGACCTTGTTCCGTAGGAGGACTTCTGTCGCAAAAGGATCAAAACGGAAAAGAGAGGCCTCTTCATTTTAAGAGTCGGGCCTTAAATCCCGTTGAGAGGAACTTTAGTCAGTTCAAGAAAGAAGTGCTAGGGGTGTTGCACTGCTTAAAGACCTTCCGTCACTACATCTACGGGCGGTGTTTCCTCCTGAGAGTAGACCCGACCGCGGTAGCGGCTGTCCTTCAAAAGGACTTCTCTCTGACCGACCCAACTATCGCCAGGTGGATGATACATATTAGGCTCTACGACTATAGGGTCGAGCGAATCTCTGGGGCCAAAAATCAGGTCGCCGACGGGCTGTCCCGACTCCCGATCCGAGAGGAAGATTACCAGAAGTCAAAGGATGCAAGGGCAGCGATGACCAAGGAAGAGATGATCCAAGTGACCGCCAACCGGGCACGAGTGGGGGTGACCATCCGAGAGGAAGAAAGAAGGCCGGAAACGTTCCTGGCTAACCTTTACGATGGGAAGTACAGCGATATAGGGTTGTACCTAGAGGGACGAGAGAAAGGCACCGAGGTGATTAGGAAAGAGGCACTCGGGTACTGCCTACGAGGGGGACACCTCTTTAAGAGGCCTACCAAGTTTGCTATTCCCATGAGGGTGCTTTGCGACCCGGCAGAAAGGAAGGCCGTTATAGAGGAGTTGCACGACGGGATCGTCGGAGGGCATAGAGGGGTGAAAGGCACTTTTGACAAAGTCCGTAGGCTCTATTGGTGGGACGGGCAGTACGGGGAAGTCGAAAAGTACTGTTTGACCTGTGACGCCTGCCAAAAGAGGGCGACCGTTCGCTACAAGGAGCCCTTGGTCCCTTAGCTTCCCACTGTTCCGGGCGAAAAGGTCCATGTCGACCTAGTAACCATGCCTAAAGGAGTCAGCGGGCTTCGGTACATAATCAATGCCCGCGATGACCTCACCAGATTCGTAGAGGCTAAGGCTATTAAGAAGAAGACGGTCGAAGAGATGAGTGACTTTCTCTTGGAGTACATTGTCCGGTACGGTTGTGTTGGAAAGATAGTTTTGGATAGGGGGTCGGAATTCCTAAGTCAAAGGGTCAAGGTGATGTTGGAAAAGGCAGGGATTAAAGCGGCCTATACGACCGCTTATCACCCCCAAAGTAACGCTCCGGTCGAAAGAGGCCACCAAACCCTAGTAGACGCCTTGGAAAACTGGTGCAAAGGGCGTGTGGAACAATGGCCGAAGTATTTACGATATGCAGTATGGGCAGATAATATCACGGTGAAGTCAAGTACGGGGTATCCCCCTTACACCCTTTGGTTCGGTAAGCACTATCCGCTGCCCATCGAGTTCCACATCGACACTTGGACGAGTGTCTCGTGGAGAACCAACATGACAAGGTGTGAACTTTTGGAGGCAAGGATCCAGCAAATAGCCGAAAATTTGGACGTCGGACTCGCCGAGGCGGGGAAACACATCGAGAAGGAAAGGGTAAAAGGGAAAGAGAGGTAAGACAAGAATCTGCGGGTCTAGCAAAAGCCGATAGGGACCAGTGACCTTGTCCTTATGTACGACTCATCGCTACAAAAGACTTGGAGCAGAAAATTGGTCAACCGATGGATGGGGCCGTACCGAGTCCTAAAGAGGTTGGATGGGGGAGCATACCTACTCACCGACTTGGATGGGACTAGATTACGGGACCCTGTCGCAGGGACTCGTCTCAAACTCTTTCGATGGCGAGGGACCGTCAGGAAAGAAACGAAAGGGAAGGGCAAGGAAGCAGTCGACGGGGAAGTGACCGTTGCCCGTGAGAAAGGAGAGACTTCGAGACAAGGGGCCTCTTAATGGCCGCCTAGGAGGGGGTATAAGGTTCGCAAACCTCCCCTGCCCAAGACCCCCAAAAGAAAAAACGGCCCAGGGAGGATGATAGTGATACCGACCAACTAAGAAAACGGAGGATGAGAGAGAGAAGGGACGCTTCAAGGAAAGCCTTGAGAATCAAGCGTGAGAAAGAAGAAAGGAAGAGAAAAAGAGAAAGGTTTGAAAGAAAGGCGAGGGGACGGAAACAGGGAAAGGAGCCGCATGGACAAAAAAAGTGAGGGAATGTACAATAGTTAGAGACAGCATAGAAATACTGTGTCATAGGAAACTGTAGATTAGTTAAAAAGGAGGGTTGTAACATTGTCCAAGGAGAACATGTATCATGACTTCGAAAGGAAGGTCGGACCCTAGTTAATAGAAACATGTGTTATGGAGTAGAGGGTAGGAGGCTAAGTAGGTTGTACCATACTGAGGCAATGCGGGTAGAAAGCAAAGGGTTAAGGAGGAACAAAAGGGGGGGGCGGAATCTAAAAAAAAAAAGAAAAAAAAAAAGGGAGGGAAGGTAATACGAACCATGGGAACCAGAAGGGTGTGGGGGAAAAGATTAAGAAAAGGGGGCTACGGGAGAAGCTCGCCAGGGACGGCGAGAATTGGGGTGTGGGCTGGTTGTTGGGCGGCTGCCTACCAGTCGAAGGCCTTTCTTTTTCGAAATGAGAAATGTTTTTTTCTTTCCTTTACTGTTTTGCGTGGGTTTGATGTATGCATGCATGTGAAAGTGCGCCTTGTGAGTAATTCGAGATGTCCGGGTCTTCATACTAACCCTTCGATGGATTGGAGCATCAGTTCGGACCATGGTCGCAAGCGGGCCCGCGCGGATCCCAAAGATTTGGAGTTTTTTTTATGCCAGGATCAAGGAAACGGGACATGGTGGCAGACTTTGGATGACCCACGAAAAATTCCGGGAGAACGGAACCCGTGTGGACCCAGGTTTGACTACAAGGAGCGGTCGGATTACGGCACACCGCTTAATACCAGACGCAGACCACGAATTCGGGATTTCCTCGTGATGTACCAGGAAGGAGGCCGCTGCGCAAAGGTGGGGGTGAACCGCTGGGCAAGGAAGGATGCAGAACCCTGCCAGGTATGCTCGATAGGGTCCCTAGCAGGAAAGGATGAATTCGATGTCTCGGGTTGGTCTGGGGCCCACGATACAGGGAAGTTGAGAGAATGATGGGCAGCGAACGAAGAAATCAAGTCGGTTAAAGCTAAGAAACTAAAACGGTGGGCCACATCGCAGGGAAGCACCCCGGTGATGATCGGGAAAACGGTTGACCGTGTCTGATCAGCTCGAATAAAGAAGAGGGATCGACAAAGGGGGAGGGGCTACGTATGCAAGCAGCTAAGACTAACTCTGACTGGCATTGCGCTAGCTAAGCTGAAAAATCCCGGGAGAGGAATCGACAGCGGACAGAACCAGATGCGCGCGCACCTCGGGCTTCTTGCTAACCGCCGAAAGGGGTTGGCTCGGGTAGTTGGAGGCAGTCCGAGGAAGGGACATTCCCCAGGGAGATGAGCAGCGTGCACGGAAAAAATGTATTTGGACTAGATCTCCCCCCATGATCGATCCCTCTGCTAGAAGGAGGGTGGTCCAATTGGAAGGAGAGACGTGAGATCGGACTTTGTGCGCCATTGCAGTTTTTGACCACCATCCAAGAAGAGGTGGCGTCGGGGGGAGCATCACGCGGGTATGTGAGGGGTGCGCATGGGAATGTACCTGGGCGGAAAATCGTCTGAGGTGCAGGCGAGCTTCGAACCAAGCAAGCAATCAAGATCGGGGCTGCAACCCCTACCCGTGAACTATCAGATGCCGAAAGGAGGGAGGAGTTCTATCAGGGTGGAGAAAGCTGCAAC